TAAACCTTTACATGCAAGAGTATTCTCAACTTCACAGTCTCCCCTCTCCAAGACTTCTTGTCACGATTCCAAGTCATTTTTAAAACTCCCCCCCCAAACCTTACATGCAAGAGTATTCTCAGCTTCACAGTCTCCCCTCTCCAAGACTTCTTGTCACGAATCCAAGTCATTTTTAAAACTCCCCCCCCTAAACCTTACACGCAAGAGTATTCTCAGCTTCACAGTCATCCCTCCCCAAGACTTCTTGTCATGATTCCAAGTCATTTTTTAAACTTCCCCCCCCTAAACCTTACATGCAAGAGTATTCTCAACTTCACAGTCTCCCCTCTCCAAGACTTCTTGTCACGATTCCAAGTCATTTTTTAAACTTCCCCCCCTAAACCTTACATGCAAGAGTATTCTCAGCTTCACAGTCATCCCTCCCCAAGACTTCTTGTCACGATTCCAAGTCATTTTTTAAACTTTCCCCCCCTAAACCTTACATGCAAGAGTATTCTCAACTTCACAGTCTCCCCTCTCCAAGACTTCTTGTCACGATTCCAAGTCATTTTTTAAACTTCCCCCCCCTAAACCTTACATGCAAGAGTATTCTCAGCTTCACAGTCATCCCTCCCCAAGACTTCTTGTCACGATTCCAAGTCATTTTTTAAACTTCCCCCCCCCTAAACCTTACATGCAAGAGTATTCTCAACTTCACAGTCTCCCCTCTCCAAGACTTCTTGTCACGATTCCAAGTCATTTTTAAAACTCCCCCCCTAAACCTTACATGCAAGAGTATTCTCAGCTTCACAGTCTCCCCTCTCCAAGACTTCTTGTCACGATTCCAAGTCATTTTTTAAACTTCCCCCCCCTAAACCTTACATGCAAGAGTATTCTCAGCTTCACAGTCATCCCTCCCCAAGACTTCTTGTCACGATTCCAAGTCATTTTTTAAACTTCCCCCCCCTAAACCTTACATGCAAGAGTATTCTCAACTTCACAGTCTCCCCTCTCCAAGACTTCTTGTCACGATTCCAAGTCATTTTTTAAACTTCCCCCCCCTAAACCTTACATGCAAGAGTATTCTCAGCTTCACAGTCATCCCTCCCCAAGACTTCTTGTCACGATTCCAAGTCATTTTTTAAACTTCCCCCCCCTAAACCTTACATGCAAGAGTATTCTCAACTTCACAGTCTCCCCTCTCCAAGACTTCTTGTCACGATTCCAAGTCATTTTTTAAACTTCCCCCCCCTAAACCTTTACATGCAAGAGTAATCTCAACTTCACAGTCTCCCCTCCCCAAGACTTCTTGTCACGATACGAAGTCATTTTTAAACTTCCCCCCCTAAAACCTTACATGCAAAAGTATTCTCAACTTCACAGTCTCCCCTCTCCAAGACTTCTTGTCACGATTCCAAGTCATTTTTAAAACTTCCCCCCCCAAACCTTACATGCAAGAGTATTCTCAACTTCACAGTCTCCCCTCCCAAGACTTCTTGTCACGATACGAAGTCATTTTTAAAACTTCCCCCCCTAAAACCTTACATGCAAGAGTATTCTCAACTTCACAGTCTCCCCTCTCCAAGACTTCTTGTCACGATTCCAAGTCATTTTTAAAACTCCCCCCCTAAACCTTACATGCAAGAGTATTCTCAGCTTCACAGTCTCCCCTCTCCAAGACTTCTTGTCACGATTCCAAGTCATTTTTTAAACTTCCCCCCCCCTAAACCTTACATGCAAGAGTATTCTCAGCTTCACAGTCATCCCTCCCCAAGACTTCTTGTCACGATTCCAAGTCATTTTTTAAACTTCCCCCCCCCTAAACCTTACATGCAAGAGTAATCTCAACTTCACAGTCTCCCCTCCCCAAGACTTCTTGTCACGATACGAAGTCATTTTTAAAACTTCCCCCCCTAAAACCTTACATGCAAAAGTAATCTCAACTTCACAGTCTCCCCTCCCCAAGACTTCTTGTCACGATACGAAGTCATTTTTAAAACTTCCCCCCCAAAGCCCTACATGCAATAGTAATCTTTAATGCAAATCTTTCTCTTCGATAGAGTTCTTGTCACGAGCGCAAGTCATTTTTAAAACATCTGCCCCCCAAAGCTCTGCATGCAATAGTAATCCTGAATGCAAATCTTTCACTCTCATAGAGTTCTTCTCACGATTGCAAGTCGTGTTTTAAATTTTTCCCCCCCAAAGCCCTGCATGCAATAGTAATCCCTCTGCTTTTCAACTGTCCATATTGTCGGAAGTTTCACTTCTAAACTTCCTTCGATTATAGTTTCCAAATCACGTGCCTTAGTTTCCAAATCATAGTTTCCAAATCCGCGGTTCCTAGTTTCCAAATCACACCTCATAGTTTCCAAATCATAGTTTCCAAATCCGCTGTTATAGTTTCCAAATCACGTGCCTTAGTTTCTAAGTCATAGTTTCCAAATCCGCGGTTCCCAGTTTCCAAATCACACCTCATAGTTTCCAAATCATAGTTTCCAAATCCGCTGTTCCCAGTTTCCAAATCCGCTGTTATAGTTTCCAAATCATAGTTTCCAAATCCGCTGTTATAGTTTCCAAATCCGCTGTTTTAGTTTCCAAATCACGCGGTGACCATTTCCGGGCGTTTTTGTTGAAGGTCAGCAGAACTTTCGATCCTGGGCTATCCACCCAAACCTTGGTCATAAAGATATAGATCATAGTTAAATGAAGAGTTAAACGAATAAGATTAATAAGTGATAGATAAATGGAGAAATGTATGTAATAGATAAATGACTAATATCGAATTCATTTGACTTCTATATGCTGTACTGATGATGTTTGACGATTTTTGTTTAGATGATAATCTTACTCGGTACTAATTATTACGTGCTGTATATCTTCAGAATCCAGAATATTCGAGAGGTAAATATATCCCGTTAGAATCCCATAAAATCTTTGTAAATCCTCATAAAATCTTTAACATCCCTATAAAGTCCTTATAATGTGTTCCCTGTAAATTCCCTATTAACTGCTTATAAAATACCATAATGTGGGTAAAACAATGTCATTGTTACCACCCATGGCTGGGAATGGTAAGTTTATACCTATAAAAATGCTGATGACTGGGGGATGTGTTTATGGCATTGTTTTACCCACATTATATGTATATATATATAATTATATATATATGTATATTAACTAATACATATATATATATATATACAGAGAGAGAGAGAGCATGATATATCGCCATAGCATATCACAGAATTGGTTGAAGGGAACATTCACAAGCCCTGTAAAAGCCATGATGATCCTCAGGCCCTGCAGCCAAGCGACAGCGACAGGTGGCAGAGGATGCGGGTTGCTGTGGCGGAGATGTTATGGAAACATCCATGGGGAAACAAATGGAAATCGCTGGAATATGATGGAAATTAGATGATATTAGTTGAGATTCATGGAATTTAATGGACATGAGTTGAAATGAAATGGATTTTAACGAACAAATGGTTGAAATTAAATGGACATTTGATGGTTATTCATGGGATGCGTCATCCACTTTGCCGTAGGAAGCTGCCAGAAGTATGGGGACCTGGGATCAAGATGGGAATTCGTCGACTTGTTTCAGATCAGCTTATTATCATGTGTTCAGTTATTTACTGGGCATATATGGATGTGGGTCAAAATGGAAGACCTAGGGGACCACAGATGTTAGTCTAGTTTAGTATTCACCATCCAATTATTGGGGTACCTAATTTTGACCCATACCCATATGGAGGGTCATTACCCAGGCTGTTGTCGGACAAATCCATATCATATTGGTGATGTTTCCACGTGCAACGTTTCCGCATCACTTTCCAAACAAACTTATTACGTCCCCATTGGCAATTTCCAAGCAATCTTATTACATCGCCATGATATAATTAATTGCCATTTAATTCCATCTTCCCCAAACACCTCCATTACTTCCCAGTACTTCCCAGGATATCCCATCAACATTGATTGAATTATTCATCCATATCGTTCCTAAAACAGGATCTGATTTTTATTCCCTAAAGATTAATTATTTCCATAGCCCAACAGGGGTCAGTGCTTTCCCTTTTCCACTGGAGCACTGGACATTGGAGGATCATCCCAGTAGCATCTCTTTTTCCCATAGATGAGAGGACTCCAGGAATCGTTCAGTTCCGGTGATGCATTGGATGACCAACTTCCCAACCAGCCAGTGGAAGAGTTGGTATGATTGAGTTGGTAATCATCCCAGTGGCAGAATTTCTCTTGATCCCAGCTGTTGATTTCTCGCGAGGCAACGCCAGAGTCCTTCAGCTGGTGGTATGTTGGTAACTTGGCAGAGTTCGGTGTGACCTGGAGATCCATAGAACTGGGTCTGGGGAAGAATGGGAATGTCCACTATATGGGGCTTTCCTGGAAGTGGGGTACCCCAAGCTCGCTGGTTGGTTTATAATAGAACATCCCAAATAAGAACGGATGATAAATTGTATAAATGATTGGGAAAAAGAGAGGAACAACAACATTTGGGGTGAACTTCATTGAATATCACAGAGGTTCACGGAACTGATGGACAGGATGTGGAGGTTTCCAAAGTCATGGGGGTACCCCCAGTCATCATCCATTTATAGATGGATTTTCCATGGAAAAAACCATCCAGCTATTGGGGTATCCATTGATAGAAACCCTACCCTCTGGTAAACGTTTACATAACTATGGAAAGATCCACCATTTTCAATGGGAAAATCCACTATTTCTATTGTCATGTTCAATAGCTATGTAAACGTTTACCAGAGGGGTAGGTATACCACCAACATCCACCAACCAGATAATGATTAACCACTATTAACCACATTTAACCATTATTAACAGATCTGAATGATCATCTATAATCCATAATGGAATGATCATCTATTAACCACTATTAACCATTATTAACCATTAATGTGAACTTTACCATGGACATCTCACAGATCTTTAAAGGTCGGGGATGGTCTTGGGACTTCCATACAGAACCAAAAAACGAACCGCCGACGGCCTGCAGATGCTGCTGGCAAGCGCGTGGAGTTTCGAAATGTGCCTTTGGCAAAGACTTTTGTTCTGAAAAACCGCGATTTCTTCAACCCCCCAAAAAGAAATAGAAAGCTAATTTTACATAAATTTACCACTTTTTATGGTTGAAAATTTCACCAACATCTATCTTTTTTTGGGTTAGCTAACCCATTTATAGATGATGTTCCCAGCTATAAACCTCCATTTATCATGGATTTTCCATGGCTATGTTGGTCATAACCAGAGGGTTAGCTGCCAGCCATGGCAGCCATGGCACCCCCATGGCAGGACGCCCAGATGAAGGATGGCCCCGCAGGAGAAACCTTCAGGGTCAGCTGCTTGGGAATGGGCGAGAAACCCGAAAAAAACTGGATGACCTGGGCGCAGAAAGAATCAGATAGGGAGAATGGCCGGGAGAATGACCAGTTTAAAACTCAAGGAAACAGAACAAAAATGCTGATTTTTTGCTTGATAGGGAGACCTGACTTGAAATCTGGTGAGTTTTACTTGTGGAAAATTGCTGACTGCAACAGCTGTTGGCACTGCTTAGTGTTGCCTCTTGGATTTGAACGCTCCTGGTTTGAACTGCAGTGAATGTTCAAGTCTGTTGAAAGAGTGGGACAGTGGGACATTGGATTTTTTACCCCGTCGCACGCATCACCGGTTCGGTGAAACTATGCCTCACCAGTTGCGGTTGCGATGAGCCTCAAACAACATGGCTCCATATAGATAATGTAAATGGAATGCAAAGCTGGCCCAAAGAAATGAGGGTGCAATAATTCAAGTCTAAGTCGGACTGCAGTCCTAACAAGCTGTTGTCATTGCAATCGCCAAGAGTTCTTGCAAGTAAGTCTCCTGTTTCAACTCAAAGCTGGTGTGGGTTTCCTGAACTGGGTGACCCCAACAAAATCATCCAACATGCGACATGTTTCACTGCGAAAGCCACTGATTTTAAGGTCTGCCATTTTCGGAGCCCATGGATTTTTAGGGCCCATCACTCGAAGCAGGTGACGATCATGCATTCAAGCGGTCGAGTGGAGAAGGCAGTTGGCAGTTGTCGGTTGCGGTGCGGACAATGATCCCCAACATTAGTGAAAGAAATAGTGGTTGAAATCAACAATCAAGGTGAGACATGTTTGAAGTTTGTAGTTGATGATAGTTTATGATAATTTTTGATGAACCAAAAAAAGGAAGTCTGCTGGTAGGTTCAGCTGGTGTCATATTTCCAGCACTTCCTTTAATGATGATGCAAATTCATGAATTTTGAATGTACATTTCCATACTGTAATATAAGCTGTTATATCTATGTTACCTATTTGTTCCTCCACATCGCCACCTTTGCAACGCAGCCATGCCACAGGCATGGCTTCCGGATACCAAAGCGCCTCCAACCAGTGTGGCCCTCAGAGCTTCGAATAAGGGAATAAGGGGGAAGAGATATGAATCAGAGATATCAGATATAGAGCTGAAAGATAAATATATGAGGGTTTCCATAGTCATGGGGATCCCAATGCTGTAGCTGGTTGGTTTATGATGAAAATTCCTATTCAGATGGATGATTTAGGGGTACCCCCATTCCAGGAAACCTCCATATTGATATAATAGATTAATAATAATAGATATACACGCACTGTTAGAAGCATGGCCCTATTATGTTGCCACATGGCACTTCCCTTACTTGTGTTTGCCTTTCATCCGAGGCCCACCCTGATCCACTCATTTAGGCATGGTACGCCGGGTCGCTGAAAGGTTTCCAAGCGCAACTTTTTGCCTAGCAGCTTATCGGCCGAGCTGCCAATTTATCAAGGAGATGAAAGAATGTAATAACAATAAAGAAGGAGACTGCAAGTGGGAACACTTATGTCACTAGAACGCCAAGACGCTTTTTTTTTGCATTTATTGGTATAAAAATATCGCAGTTTGGTCATGCTAGCTGCATTTGTTGATCGATTCACAGGTCTGTTACCAGATCCCCTGGCTTTCACCTTGGCTCCTGGCCCGTGCTCAGGGAGTCCTGCTACGGGGAGATGCAGCAAAATGGCGTACATGGTTTGCTGGACTACCACAAATAGAGGTTTGAACCGTCAAAAATAAGGACATATAGTTGAAAAATGATGGTTAATGGGTATTAACCGCATGGAATATCCAAGTTATATGTGGGATATACCCCAGTCATATAGGCTTTAGAACCACTTTCAGGACTTCCTTGGATGTACCGCCTGGAGTCATTTGCAGCTCAATGGGAGACGGCAGTAACGACCGACGACAGCATCTGCACCCAAAAAACCATGGAAAAATGGTCCAAAATGGTCCTGTAATTAATCCACCTGTAGATCACTTTCCTTGGGAAAACCCATGGGTTTTCAATATATGTCACCGTTCATTTTCTGCAAGGCATATCCCCATTATGTCACCACGTCTCGACGTCTCGACGTCTCGGAATCATGACACCTGAAGAGGCGGAAACTCATGGAGTGGTCATAGTTGGTCAGTGATCCCCAGAAATTGTTGATCTGGTTGGTGGATGGTTAATGGATGGTTAATGGATGGTTAATGGATGATAATGGATGGTATATATAATGTATATATGGTATATCTGTTCTATAATATCTGGTTGGTGGTTTGGAACATGGCTTTTATGTGGGAATGTCATCGTTCCAACTGGCTTTCATATTTTTCAGAGGGGTAGGTATACCACCAGCCAGAAATTGTTGATGATTGTTGGACATATGATGGAACTATTGGAAATATGATGGGCATGTAGTTCAACAGCCTACTAAACCATGGTTTCTGGCGGGGTTTTAACCTTTAGGGGGAAGGGATCAGTTGGAATCTGTTGGAATCTTTGAAAATTCTTGGATCATAGAATATACAATCACTGAGGAATTGGGAAGTATCTTGGATCCATAAATACTGAGATATTATTAACATATTGGTGCAATTCTTGGCCACAAGAGCAACCATTTAAAGGCGTGGAACAAGCAAACTGACAAAGTGGCTGCGATCTCCACTGGCAGCCTGATACTCATGTTTTTTGATCTCAGGCAGCCTTTGTCCCCAGAAGTAGTCTTTGTGGTTGTTCCTTTGACCAGCTGTTCTGCTTCCTTCAACCCATGGATTTCACCCCACCTCCATTTCTCCATTTCCCTTTGAGATGCCCGGTGTTTTCACCGCCGTTTTAAGGGACAGTTTCTAGTGACTGACCCATAGGATCCATGGTGCTGGTATATATATGCTAACATTGGGGGTATATTGATGGTAAATGTTGCCATATATAGCATACATGGATCCTATGGGTGAGACATACTGAGACAATCAACCTGGTGAAGTTCCCAAAAGATCCACAGCTGGCAAAATTCCATCTTCCCAACCTGCCAGATCTCGGACGACGAGTTGGATGCCGCTGATGCGGGGCTAACCCATCTTGAGAAGCGTTTGAGGATGTGACCCAGCAGAGCGGCCGGTGGGCTGTGATGATGAACGACTTGTAGATGTTCTTCCGAAAAAAAAAAAGACACCTGGAAGATCCTGGAAAAATGGTGGCCATAGATGAGTCGGAGTTTTTCGGGGGGTAGGCTCGGAAGGCGCTATTTGGGTCTGTGGCATACTGCATACTATTGCATACTGCATACTATTGCATACTATTATTCATTGAAATTGTAAGTGTCATATAGATTCATGGAGTTTCATGGAGAAAATGGTGATGAGCCATTAAACTCTGGGGTGCCCTTTCTCAGACAAATCCACTTGGGGGGGCAAAGTTGGGATTTGTGCCACTATCTACAGGGATGTGTAATTAGACCTTGACCTTCAGCCGTTTTCTCATATTTCTGGTCGATCGTTGAGGGTGGTTTTAAATATCAGTGTTATTTTCCAGATGTTTCAACCAGGTAACAACATCAATGAAATGCTGATTATTTCTTCAACCATATCATATCTATGAGTGGAATGGCTACTGTATTACTAATAATTAATTATCTGGTTTCAACCTTTTGAATGGAATGATGATTGTCAATTGATATCTGAAAAACCCTGAGGTAAACTAAGATAGATGTCGAAATTGCCCATTTATAGATGATTTACCTGGTACCCAGATGGCACCTATAAAAAGTGGTGATTTCCCAGATCTATGTGAGTCGACAAGGTCGAGCTGTATGGAAGTGGTGAAGCAGCACACGGGCAAACGTCCCAAGGAGGTGCGGCCAGTTGAGCTGATTTCACCGGTGGATGATGGCCTAAGAATCACCTAGATGTAAATGGGTATGTCTAAGAATAGGGAACCGCTAAATCCATTAGTTACTGTAATATTACTGTAATATTTTTCCGTACCAAGATGGTTATATACTTGGGTCCATTTGGCATTGCCACTGAGGTCTTTTTGGGTTCTAAAGATGTTTCACCGTCCGGGATCGATCTCTGTCACCTTTCGGCGATAAAGATATCGGCCCCCCATTGTCATCAGTTGGGGAGCACTGCATGGGACAACTGGGAGCCAGAATCCTTCAAAGTGGCACTTTACAGAGGTTACCAACAATGGTGCAGGGAATATTGGGGAAGTCCAAACACGGAAACTGATGAAACTGGGCATAACTAATCATGAGTCATCAGATCTCATGAGGTATACCCTCTGGTAATTTAACATAGCTGTTGAACATGGCCCATTTATAGTTGATTTACCTCTTAAAGACTGTGATTTTCCATAGCCATGTTAGTTTACCAGAGGGATCCAGAGGGTAAGCAGCAACGAGATTTAGAAGAGAGAAAGAGAGAGAGAGAGAGAGAAAAAAAAAAGTTGACTGGTATTTGTTCATGTAACCACCATGTTTTCATATATTCCCAGTTTCGACCGCATGCCTGCATTTTTTAAATATAAATTGGATAATTGGATTGTGTGAAATAGAACCTAAAGGATCTAAAAAGAATAAATGAATAAACCATGATTGTTACTATTGGAATATGCAGCTGCAATTGTTCCAGGGCCTGGTATTGCTCCGCTGAAGTTGCCTGTCTACCTTTTTTTTTCCTCGAATCTACCCAATGGTCTTCAAAAAAACTCTTAAAAACTCTATGTGCAGGTGGGTATAGTTTTCCTACAAGAAATGTCTTACTTCAGAACACAGATTCCCAAGTCTTCTATCTATTTGGGTGTTGCTGCGTAGAATGGATTCTGTGATACTGGGCATCAATCGTCGCCGTGCCATGGCTCTAGGTTCCTTGACACAGAGGAATACAAAGTATCTGAGATTGCAGCAGCTTTGTGAGGCCCAAATTAGTCAATGCTCAGATTGAGTTCCCATTCCCTCATTAGACAAGGAGCTGAGAATACCCTGAGGCCAACTCTCTTTCCACCTGAATGCACGATGTGGTTCCTTCCTAAGGGGCCAACAAAACATCTGCCACGATGCTCAAAGAGGCAATGGCTGGTGGCTATGTGGAGCCAGTTCTAAGTGGTGCTTTGCCATGGTGAAGGCATGTGAAGGCTGCGGCTTGACCCTCACTGGTTCCACTCTGGGCCAGTGGTCCACATGGGAACCATGAGCAACTTCCGCTGAAGGGGGCAAGACTTGCAGCACCTGGCTTCACCGCTCAGACTCAGCCAAACATTGCAGGAGCAGGGCATTTCAGGCTGTGACCCTTTCATGCACGTATGTTCCAACGGATATTATACTGCATGGCGCTACGTCTCCAGCTTCCCTGTGTTTGAGGGAAAATGTTCATTGCAGGGTCTGACTCAGGTACGGGGGACAACAAATGGTGAGTATTTGTACCACCTCCCTCAGAGCCTCAAAAGCTTCACTTTCGGCGACGCTTTCAATGAGAGTCAGTGACCCTGCCAAGCAGTCTGCAGAGCTTACTGTAGCATTCGGAGACAGTTTTAATCAATGGCTGACAGGAGTCAGCTTGCCAAACAGTTTGACCTTCGGAGATCGTTTGACCAGAGCCTGCAAGGAGTCAGCTTACCGAGCAGTTCAAACATCGATCTTCGGAATTGATTTTAATCAGGGCCTGGATGGAGTCATCTTGCCATGCAGTCTGCAAAGCTTGGCCTTTGGATGCCTTTGGAATTATGTTCAATCAGAGGCTAACAGGAGCCAAATTTCCAAGCAGTCTGCAAAGCTTAACTTTCGGAAATAGTTCCAATCAAAGCCTTGAAGGAGTTTCCTTGCCAAGCAGTCTGCAAAGCGTCACATTTTGTACAGTTTCAATCAGAGCCTGCAAGGAGTGGCTTTGCCAAGCAATCTCCAAAGCTTGACCTTTGGAATTGGTTTCATTCAGAGCCTCGAAGAAGTTACCTTCCCCAGCAGTCTGCAAAGTTTGACATTCGGGAAAAGTTTTACTGAGAGCCTTGAAGGAGTGACATTGCCAGGCAGTTTGCAAAGCTTGACATTGAACGATTTTTTTGATCAGAGCCTTGAAGGAGTCAGCTTGCCAAGCAGTCTGAAGAGCTTGACCTTCCGTTTTCATTTTGATCAAGGACTGCAAGGAGTCAACTTACCAAGCAGTCTGCAAAGCCTGACTATCGGGAATAGTTTCAACAAGAGCCTGCACCTTGCCAAGCGGTCTGTAAGACTTGACCTTTGGAGATCGTTTTAATCAGAAGCTGCAAGGAGTCACGTTACCTTTGGGGCCAAAGTTTCAACCCCTTGGAAGATCTCAACTTGCCCAGCTTGTGCACTTTACATGCCTCGGATGATCAGATTTGTTGAGAACAAATTCCAAGGTGAATCGCTGCAAACAGTGCGGTCGTTGGCAGTTTGCTACACCTGAAGATCCGCAAATGAGAGTCACACTACTAACACATGTTTTTTTGGACTCCCAATGCGTAGGAAGCCCAAATTTCCAATCCTTTTTGAAGAAACCAATGTGTTAAACCATGTTGAATTGTTAACCCCCGTGTTGTCGGTTGAAACTCTCATCAACCAGTGACTGGTCCTTTGCACATCCTTCGCAGTTTTGATCTTCTTTTCCAGCAGCAAATAAGATGCAGAGCCGGGCTTCAGCTATCGACACAACGCAGGATTTACCCCTAAGATATGGCCTTTCACATCCTTTAACATAATAATTATGTGTTCTTTTATACACTTTTTTGATCTTTTTTGGGGAACATGAATGAGGTAAAAAAAGAGGTTTTAAGCCAGCTTGGCTATTTAGGGCTCCCGTTGATTTCGGTGCCAGCAGGTTGAACATGTGGTGGCCGAAACCATGCGCTTGGGGGATCTCAGTGAGGCTGAAACTGCCCGACTTCTGGACAGCTTTGTGGTTTCTATGGGACATGAAGCGCCCACTTAAATGGCGACAGAAGCACAACAAGCTATCCATGGTTTATGGTTTGCCTATGTTTGCCTGGAGAAAGTTATCATGTCATGCCAGTTTCTATTGTGACAGGATTTCCAGGATGGGTTAGCATCCCGTAGACCACAAATCCACCACATCATGGATGGCACGCCTCCTCGTGTCCGCAGTTTGATGCCAAGAACTACCTTTTCCACACATGGTTGGCGAAATGTTATCACAACATCAGGCCCGGCTGGATTCGTTGCATCTGTCGGCTTCGGTCTGTGGCCAATCGAAAGAAGGAACCCACAGACTTCGGGCTCAAGATCAGGTTGAAGTGCAAAAAATGACCGAACATATCCCGAAAATCTGAAGGATATCCAGGATATCCAGGTATCCATCAATGGGTTTGTCTGTCGAGTACCCCTAGATTTCATGGTCTATCATCGTGTTCCCCATATTTCACCTTTGGTCCTTTGGTGCTATCATTTCAGGGGTATCCCCGACGACAAGTCCATATCCAAAGACATCCAATGTTAGGTGAAATCCTAATTCTTGATGGTTAAATGATGGTTCAATGCCTATCAGACCTATCATTTAACCATCATAATACTTGGATAAATACCTAAATGATGGTTAAGTGATGGTTAAATGATGCTTAAATGATGCTTAAATGATGGTTAAATGATGGTTAAATCCAAGTAGTCTCACAGTATATGATCCAGACATCCATGGGCTTTGTGATCACCAAGGCAAGAAGAAGCGCAACTCTTTGGTGCGCAGGAGTGACGGATGGGAGCGATGCCAATGGTGAAAAAGCCATGGACTACTTGGGTATATCTTATATAACTATATATATATATATATATATATAACTATATATATAATTTACATATATATATATATGTATCATATGTATATTATATATATAATGTATATACATATAAGTGTAAATATATAGATATATACTTGCCATGATTATAGTATAGATGTAGAGTTCTTACATATGGTGTAGTAGATTTACCATATAGTTACTACTAACTACTATTACATACTATTACTATTACCAAATTTCATTTGGCTTCATTTTCGGCGTCCCAGTTTGGATCTAAGACATCGAAGTGCAATCGACTGGATGGGTAGAAAACTAATCCTGGATGGTCTTTTGGTATCAATGGGATTATCCACGTTCACCAGCTAAGTTTTTTTTTGCGTATCTAAGATTGGCCATGATCTCATTTGGTGCAAAACAGGAAGGAGCAGCCTGGTCCCAAACCTGCAGTCCCGCAAGGTCCAGTCTGGTAGGGGGTGAAACTTTTGCCAAACAAAAAGGTAGGGGGTGAAAACATGACTACCTGGAAGGAAATGGCGTATGTTTATTTAATATCGGATTATTTCACCAACAGAAAATTGGAGTCATTCTATCAAACATAAAAGGCAAGCATATTTTGTTTGCAACTTTCATTGTTTGTTTTGTAATCATTTTTATATGCCTAATAGCCCAATACCTGCATTGTTCATTGTTATATAAATGTGGGTTTCCATAGTCACGGGGGATATCCCAATAGCTGGATGATTAAGGGAAAATCCCGCTTATAGCTGGATGATGACTGGGGGGTACCATTTATGGAAACCTTCAAATGATCCGCAGGAGATGCCAAGATCCCGTGTACAGCAGCTCTTCAGCGGCTCGCTTCAGCGCTTCAGTGAGAAGCAGCTGGAGGTAGGGGCCTCCAAGGTGGTCCAGAAGTCGCTGTTGGAAATCGGAATACCCCAAAAATCACCAAAAAGGCTAGTTTGAACATGTTTAAACAGGGAAAATGGATGAACATGGATGAACATGGATGAAATGACCAACACCCAGTTGGAAACCAAAAAGAACGCAACGCTGAATTTGGACCATTTTGGAGAACAAACCCCATCCCTTCTATTTGGGGATCGTAAATATTATTTATTGTAAATAGATAGAAACGTCATGAAATGATCCAAGTGTTTGGTGACGACTTACTTCCGTCGCTTGGGATCTATGGCGTTGTCATGGTTTGTTGGTTTCAGACCCAAAATGGCAATCGCAAGAATCAATTTTTGTATATTGGGGTGATACACTGATACACTAGACATGAAATTGGTCAGTGTAACGTTTAAAAACCAAAGGATTTGGAAAGGATGCATATTTTTAGACCCATTTTTTACACATCACCTCTTTCCAGGAAATTGTGCAACCCATGACTCTAGGTTTTCCTCAAACATCCTCAAACCATATCTGGAATGATTGGAATTGGTATGAGTTGGTACCAAACAAGCAAGAAACCAAGCAGCCAATCATGGGACAGACATGTGCTGGCCAATTTTTTGGTGGCCATGTTTGTTTCAAATCAACATCCGGGAAATTCTGTGGTGATGTTAGCTGATGTCCCTGGATTTTCCACAAAAAAATCCATGTTTTGTCTCGAAATCCCTGGAATATCTCCGGTTCCTCACAGGTTCTGAATGAGCTGCTTCGGGAAGACGGAGCAGTGGGACCAGAGGCGGGGAAAACCCATGGGAAACCCATGGGATTTGTTGGTTTGTTATGAAAAATTGCCATAACTTGGGGTATCCCACAGTTTTGGAAAGGGTCCTGATAGTGCCAAAGGCCCAGGAATATCATGAGCTGTTAGATGTCAAACCATTTGGCAACAGAGTGACCTGGAGTTGCTATGTTTTTCAAGCTGGCCCATGTCGGTGCTTGATGGCGCTTCCCAGGAGATGTCAGAATCATCTGGATACAAAGCTATCTCCCAGCACTGGGAAATTGTTCAACATACAGGGTTCCCGAAAGAAAACATTGCGTTTTAAGTACTTCCAGGATGTTGTAGGATGTTAGAAAGATCCATAATTACCAGGTTTTCAACTCTTCTATCACTTTGGGATCGTTGTTCTTGCTGCAGGTGGAGGTCCTTGGAAAGAAATTGCTGCCCAGCAGCAGACCGCGGGTTGTGCTGCTGCAAATAGTCCTCAGTGGTGGGAGCCTACGAGTCAGATGTATCAGCTATGCCTAATATATTAAATACATTTCAGTAAAGTATTGTTTTTTTCATTTATGTTTTGTTGTTTATTCATGTCTAATGCTATGCAAGGTTGGTGTGATATCTTGTTTTTGTTTCCCACTATTTGGATCTATTTGGGACGATGATCCTCATTGACAGTTTTTTTGGGGATCGATTGAAGCTATCAATGAGTTTTTATGTCCCAACGATGGCCACATATAAGTGGGGTTACAAATACCACAACTGGGAGTAGTTGGGTTTTAGATGGCTTTAGGGGGCAGATTCCCTAACTGGCCCTTTATGACTGACGTTTTACCACTGGCGATGTCGCAGCAAGGCTATCCTGAGGCCCAGTCTTAAGCCAGCAATGATCGTGCGGCCCATTGAGATACCTGGCAGTCATAGACAGTCATAGACTCATAGAGCTTCCGTCCGTTCTAAAGTTGCTGATATTCCGCATGTTTGCTGGTTGACTGCCCATGTTTGTTAATTAGTTGAGCCCATCAAAGGCATTTGGTAGATATATGATGTTATATGGCTATGGATCAATACCTATACATACCATTTTTAGTGGGATGAACATCCATTTACCAGCTATTTTGATGTTCACCAGGGGTACAAGGTTTTGACACACTGCCATATGATGTTATATGTAGCCCATGAATCCCCCGGGTGTTGGTGATGAATCTCCACCTTTGAGGTCGCAGCAGGGTGCGGGTTTTGCCATTGCTTTGGCTGCGGCTTTCCTGTCTGCAGGTGGGACAAAGTTGCTGAGAGCCATGGGTTTCTGGGTTTCAGCCCCCACAAAAAGAACTACTTAACTACTTCAGGATGTCCTTTTCTATCTTGTTGGGGGTTATGAGTTATAGATAGTTATAGGATCTCATATGTCCTTTTCGTAGAGGAAGGTGACTTGTGGGATGCTAATGGATGCTATATCTAAGGTTAGCCATAGTTCCGTTCGTCTACTCAATCTTTGACTGCATTTAGGCACCTTGTGCAGAGGGTGTCAATGGTTGATACTGCACTCCCCCATAGAATATGGTGCGCTACTGAACCTTCAGAGTCAGGAAGCAAAAAGTGCAAGAAATCAGAAACACTCAGTAAGCAACTGTCAGCCAATAGGCTGTGTAAAATGATGCAGAGCATGTCTTGGATAGCACTGACCTCCAGATCTTTTATGGCGGGGCTGATTTTGTTCAGGTCTGTTGCTCTTCCTGACCTGGCGATTGCTGAGCGCACGTCGCAAGGGTCTTAGACGACGTGGCACTGGAGAGAAGCAAATTCACTGAAAGTTCAGCTGCTTTCAAAGCTGTTGCAGCTTAACTACTGCGAGTGCTGGTACTTGAAAACTTTGCATGAGCTTTGTACCAGCGTGGATGAGCTGGTAGCCCTGCCATGTTTGATCATGCTTATGATTGCGATAAGCGTGGGTTGACATGACATGCCGCCCATTTGATTTTCTTGACTCATCAGCCGGCGAAGGAGCCAAAGAGAATGCTCGCAAGTCCTGCACTCGGTGGTTTTGAACAGGTGCCCCTATGGTTTGTAGCAGTCGGTTTATTGTGACTCCGATTTTCCGGAAGTGTTTCTTGGAAGGATCAATGGGAATTTCAGGATCCTAAAATGGAGGTACCTACCATATATAAGGCCTATATAAGGAGCAGCTTCAGTGATCTTCACCAAATTTGATCTGCAGCGACAGCGTCTGAGGCCGCGCTCGAGCCGCCGAAAGGAGAAAAAGAGACGTCGACTCGCAGCTGCCGAGCTTTGGAAATGTTCCTTTTGGTTGGGGAAAAAACACATGAGAACAATATGAGAATATGAGAGTAATTTCCGGAGTTAAGTATTGATATTTTTCAATGAGATGCCCAACTTCAGAGTGGACAGTCCGACCACCTTTTTTTGGACATCCTTGGACCATGTTCTTAGTGTGTGGAACACACAATAACCGGCATTTCTATCACTGGAATTCTTGTTGTTGCCCCAACTATTGCTGTCAGTAGGGCAGGGGCATGGCTGCATGGCTCGGCTAATCAGATTTTATCAAATCAGCTGTGAGAGATCTGAAGATCTTAATCAGCCATGGGGGAGAAAATTGGGGGATCGTGAAGGGACAGATGGACAGATGATCCCATTTTTGCCGGGGAAAATACAGTGCTGCACAGAATCGTCAATAAAAATTGCTTGAAGGGAACATCCCCCGAAACTTCGCCGCACGTTGTGTTGCCACGTTGCCACGCCACGCAGTGTGAGAACATCCTCCTGAAGCATGATGATATCAAGGTTGAAGACAACGCCTGGGCCCTAGTGAGGGTCGGCCTTCAAAATTGGACGTTTCCGAAGTCAAGGGGGTACCCCAATAGCTGGATGGTTTATTTATGTCATGAAAATCCATGTATAAATGGATGATTTGGGGGCACCCCAATTTTAGGGAACCTTATGAAACCATCTGAAACCTTCATATTTACCTGTTGGGTGTATGCTAGATATATCGAACTAGTCTATGGTGGTTGTAAAGTAACCAAGTTTGAACTGGGGGACACCACATTGTAGATGTAATTGGACAAGGATCTATATGAATTATGAGGCCTCCCATTGGCGCATACCATGAATCATGATTTGCTACGATCGAAAGCAGATACCCCGATTAGGTCTTTCTTGACCTGGGGAGGTCTGAATAATGAAGTGGCGCTTTCTTTGTCCTGTCGAAACATTTTTTTTTTTGCGGTTGTTATGTTGGTCAAGCTTTGGATTCTTGTCGGCTTGTGCCGAATCCACTGCAAATGGTCCAACAAGCTTTCAAAACTGGGTAAGTAAACCTGGGTTTAGTAGGTCAATGGGCTAATTCTAGCCATAAAAAGTGTGGAGCTACTAAACAGGCTAGAACCAGAGCTAGAAACTATAGCTATCTTTTTGGCAGGTTTTCAAGATTTAGCCAATTTCGATCAATGATCATTTGACGATTCATGCAGCATCCCAAACCCCACCCCAGTGGGCCCCAGTGCGCTGAGATCTTCAAGCTATGTGACTTTGGCTTCGCCGCACATGATTCAGGACCGAAAGATGTGGGACTTTGGAGCAAGAAAACATAGAAAAGACAGATCTGTCCGAACCATTCGTTGATGCTGCTAAAGACATACAAGGTGCCTTCGAAAGACATGGAACAGTCAATCAACATCAAAACAAAAGGATTTTGATCCAAAAAATGACGTGGTTTTCCCCCAAATGAGGCAGATAGACTCTATAGAATCTAGAACAAAGGATTGTGCTTGCTTGATGACAGGTGTTTTCCCCATGCAGTAGTTTTTGGTTCCGAAATTAAGTTTTTCCCAACATCATTTTTAGGGTTTTCCAACATCTAAAACCAACTTTCCCATTCTTGCCCTAAACACATCTAAACACAGTTGTTTCCATGTTTTTCCAACATCAAGTTATATTTTCCAACATCTAATACTAAATCATGTGTTATCAAACATCTACATTGAACAGCAAAAGCAAATCTATGTTCTGAGGAAAACATATGGGTTTGTCTGAAAATAGGGTATATTCCCAATTATAGCCATTTAATAGGGATAATAATCATTAACCATTGGGTTTAGGGGTACACTATTTTCAGACAAACCCATATGGGTAGATGTTGGAAAAATCAGATTTCTTCAGACGTCATTAGGACAGGGACTCACAGATCGCTTGGGCTCCCCTGACACCGTGGCGCCTGAGATCGTTGCCGTGACCCCAAGGGCTTCGGGTGTTTCCCGGTCTCAGATGGAACCAACGAAAAATGGCACCTTAAGCATGAAGAAATTGGGATTTATGGGGCATTAACCATCCAAAATTGGGATTTGGCTCCGGGAGCAGATGGATCCGGAACGTTGCAGCCTATTCTTGTTGGTTTCCAAAGGGGTCAAGGGGTCAGCCTTCGATGCGTAGCTTTCATGAAGGAAAACGGTCGATGTTTCGATCAGAGGGATGACCAGATATGAAAACTTCATCCAGCTTGGGCATCTTGGGCCATTGACCGGGCCCTCCGGAGGTTGGGACCAAGTATAGCACGCCGGTGGACATGTGGTCCGCAGGCCTGCTTAGAGGGTTTGCAGCCAGGCAAAGTGAAAAACCATAACTGGTTGGTGGTTTCAAACATTTTTTATTTTCCATAATATATGGGATAATCCTTCCCATTGACTTTCATATTTTCAACATGGTTATTGCACCACCAACCAGATAAAATATGTGGTTTGTATATGTTGTATTAATGTTTGGTATGGGAATGGCTCGAAAATGATAAAAAGTCCCATTTTGGGATGGTTACCCATTTTTCCTGCACAAAAGCTGCATAGCTGCTATGTTTGAGACCAGACTTTTGGGGGTGAAACTTGAGCTGAACAACACCGGCTCCAGGCGTGTTGGTGTACATGATGCTCTCAGCAACCCCACCCTTCTATGCTCCAACGGACAACGAGGCCAATATTTGTTTGGCTGGGACTCTGGGACTGAGATGCAGGAATTTTGAGCCTGGAAATATAGCCACTTTCCCTTGTGTGTGTGTTATCTTGCCTTGCAAAATGTGATGTTTGTCCTTTTCCTGGACGTACCTGTTTTCAAAGAATCTTCTCGCAAAGGCAACCAGAACTAGATCTGTAGTAGAACATGATGTTTCATCATTGTTTCATGGGGATTTCACCACCATCTATACTTTGTTAAGTGAATAAAACATCTCCAGATGAAGTTTCAGCTGCTAGGTCTCCAGGGATCTCCAGGGTCCAATCTCATCTGGCAGGTCTTGCGGAAGGTGAAGACAGGCAGTTACAACCTCTCCGGTGAGCCCTGGGATTCCCTCCCTCGCCCACCCAAGGCGAGCGACGCTTGGGAATGCTTGGGATCCATAAGATCTGGTGACCTCAATCCATAGGAATCCCATAGGAATCCCATAGGAATCCCATAGGAATCCCATAGGAATCCCATATGATCCAAACATGGACAACAAATTCATGTCGGGGAAGTATAATATATAGTATAATGACGTATATGTCTTTGCCGATGTATGGTTATATACAGTAACTTTGTGTCTTTGATTCGCCTGGCAATACCGTTGCCTCTCGGGGGGTTCCTGGTGATACTGGTAAAATGCTTTGATGCTTGTGAGCGGCTTGATACTGGGGTTTTCTACACTGGTCTGTTTGTTGGAGGCCAATGAATTGTGTACTACATTCATGTTTCGTTTCACAAGGAGGTATATCAGGTGTGATACAGCTATATAAGTGTATAATAGTGTATACATATATATATATATATGATATATCATCATATATCATATATCCCAGTAGTTTTGCGCTATACTGTCCATGGCAAACCACATGTGAATTTCCCCCTTTCTCGTGGAGGGACTTCGCTGGCTGTTCGCAGGATCTGATCGCGTCCCTCATGACAGTGGATCCTAAAAAGAGACCTACAGCCACCGAGGTCGGGGGCAGTAAATACCCCTGGCAGAAAACGGGCTTGGAAGACGAGTGAAACCATTGAAAAAATGGGTGATAAAATCAGGGTCAACATGTTAATTTACTGGAGGGTAATGCCGAAACAATGGGAAAACATATATGACTTAGAAAGTGTAATACAAAAAAAAACACATGGGAATTTGTGTATAGTAAATGTAATACCGAAATGGGGAAGAAATGGGAGTTAAGGATGTATCCCCCAATTGTTTGAGGGGGACGGGGGTGAGGGCGGGGCAGGGCGCGGCTACGCTAATCAGTATCCAAGATGGTGTTGCGATGTCGAGAGTTGTCCTGAATTTCACTCTGAAGTCAGATTTTGCCGACCCGAAGCTGCAAGGCCCTGAATGTTGCATGGCTGAAGTGACGCAGATCTCGTGACCAGCGAAAGCCCCGGTGGCCCCATGTGGCCAGTGCTGAACAGTTCTTTTTAGCGCTTAGTTCCCATAGTGAATTATGATCATCCCCAGTATTTTTGGTAGTATAATATAGATTAATATAGTATAATCCCATATAATCATCAACCCCAACAGTGGTTTTGAACCATGCTTAACCTGTGATACTATCGTGTTGTGATGATTTTTGGGGTACCCATCAGCTGGTAGTAGCGCTACAAGGTTCTTCAATGATCATGTGACATGATGTGTAGCAGTAGCTATAGAAGACGACTAGTGGTTCACCCTTTGAGGCACTCTTTGAGGCGCTAGTGGTTCACAACAATTTGTCTGAGTATGTTTATATTTAGGCGGTACATTTAAGACATGTTAAGACATGTTAAGACGTTAAGACTCGACATG